AGAATCAAAGCCACTCACGTTAGAGAAAACGATCACTGTTAATCTGGGCGATAAAGAGAATCCCAAAGAAGTTAAGATTGCAGAAAGTTTTCCCTCAGCAGAGGCAGAAAGGATCATAGATTTGGTCAAGGAATATTAAGATATATTTGCATGGTCTTATACTGACATGCCAGGCCTCAATCCGAGCATAGTTGAGCATGCTTTGCCAATTGATCCAAGTATCCCACCAAAGAAGCAAAAACTGAGGCGAACAAAGCCGGAATTGGCAAAGAAAATAGAAGAAGAAGTGATGAAATTACTCAAAGTCGGTTTCATCGAAGTAGTACCATGTCCAGAATGGGTTGCCAACATAGTACCCGTAATGAAGAAAGATGGTCGAGTATGGGTGTGCGTTGATTATTGCGACCTAAATAAAGCAAGCCCTAAGGATGATTTCCCGCTTCCATATATTGATATATTAGTGGATAGCACTGCTGGGTTCAGAACATTTTCATTCATGGATGGTTTCTTAGTATATAATCAAATCCTCATGAAGAAAGAGGATAAGGCGAAGACATCCTTCATAATACCATAGGGCACATTTTGTTATAAGGTGATGCCTTTCGGTTTGAAAAATGTTGGTGCCACATATCAAAGGGCAATGGTAACTTTGTTCCATGACATGATGCACAAAAAAATCGAGGTATATGTGGATGACATGATTGCAAAATCTAAACAAGGAGAAGATCATGTTGAGGTGTTTCACAAATTGTTCGAAAGACTTAGAAAGTACAAGTTGCGATTGAACCCCAACAAGTGTGTATTTGGGGCAAAATCTGGCAAACTGCTAGGATTTGTGGTCAGTAACAGGGGCATCGAAATAGATCCTTCCAAGATCAAGGCAATATACGACTTAAAGACTCCTTCTACGGTAAAAGAAGTGAGAAGCTTGTTGGGGCGATTAAACTATATTGCCCGTTTCATCTATCAGCTTTCTGAAACTGCTAAACCATTCTTCAAACTATTGAAGAAAAATGCCAAAGTAAAGTGGGATGCGGAATGTCAACAAGCCTTTGACAAGATCAAAGAATATTTGGTATGCCCACCAGTGCTGGTACCACCAATCCCAAGAGTTCTGCTGATCTTATATTTGACGATTCACTATAAGTCATTAGGAGCGGTGCTTGTACAAAGAAGATCAAATGATGGTAAAGAACAAGCCATTTATTACTTGAGCAAGAAGTTTACAACATCAGAAATGAACTACCCAGCAGTCGAGAAGACATGCGTTGCATTGATTTGGGTATTACACAGATTAAGACAGTACACCATCCATCATCAAATTTTGCTAGTAACTGAGAATGATCCGATCAAGTACCTTCTTGAGAAATCCTCCTTGGTCGGGAAATTAGCAAAGTGGCAAGTTTTGTTATCAGAATTCGACATCAGAAGTTCATCCCAAAAGTTAGTTAAAGGACGAGCAATAGCAGACATGTTGGCAGAAAATTCGCAGAATATTGCCAGTCCTGAAGAACAACTTGATGATCATATATTGACACTGGTCGACGATAAATGGACCATGTATTTTGATGGTGCAACCAACTTATCTGGATCAGGAACTGGGACAGTACTGATCTCCCCAGAAGGCCAACACTATCCGGTATCTGCGAAATTGGTATTTCCATGCACCAATAACGTCACTGAATACGAAGCACGCATTCTCGGCTTACAATTAGCCCTTTCAATGAAGGTAAAAAGGTTGCAAGTATATGGAGATTCTATGCTCATTATATTGCAAACAACTAGTGAATGGCAAACTCGAGATGCCAAGCTAATTCCTTATCACAGATACTTAGAAGAGATGGTAGAAAGTTTCGAAGAAGTAACATTCGATTATCTCCCAAGAACTCAGAATCATTTTGCAAATGCTCTTGCAACTTTGTCATCCTTACTATAAGCTGAAGATGGTATGGATATAAAACCATTGAGAATCAATATTCTTGAACAACCAGCTCATTGCATGATGGTTCAGGCAGAATTTGACAACGAACCATGGTATCATGACATCAAAAAATATCTTCAATTGGGAGAATTTCCTGAAAAAAGTCAACCAGGTGACAGGAAGTTTATAAGGAAGATAGCCAACAAATTCTTCCTCAGTGGTCAAATCCTCTACAAGAAATCATTTGATTCAACCCTATTAAGATGTGTGGATGCTACAGAAGCTGAATTCACCTCCACCCCGGTCTTGTCCGCCTGGCCATCTCACATCCCACCCGTGGCTTTATCCCGGAGTCGGCCCGCCCGCCCGCACCGCCAAAGCACCGTTGAACCCACATAGGGATCCAATCCATTCTCCTTTCGCATAGTGATACCACGCCACGTACGGATGAGGCACCAAGGCCGTTAGGCCCTCATCGAACATCACAAGCGTTGTGATTCGACGATAGGCGCGGTCTTCTCTGACATCTATCACGGTGAGCATTTCGGCTCTCTGCTCCACGGGATTACCAACGCGGGCTGGGGGAGATGCCATCCTACGGACCTGAAAAAGGGAAACAACGGGAGATGAGTCGGGGAGACTCAGCAAGTAAAAAACTCTAATATCAAGCGAGGACGAGACAATCGTCGTTCACACAAGTCGATTCTTACCGTACCGACATCGATGGCAATTCAAATAGCAAAGTCATGCTACGAAACCAACAAAACAAACATCAAACATGAGTATCACACGTGAACATCATTAGATGAAAAAGAAAGAACAACCATGAAACCAAGAAACGGGCCAACCAACCCATGTTACAACGTATCGTAACTTCATTTCCCGATATTAAGTAATTCACTTACACAAGGACAAACAAAACTAGAAAACGGGGTTCGAGACGGGTGAGCTCGGGAAATTTTGGGCTTTCTCCTTGCTTCCTTCTTGCTTGGCCGAGCAAACCTAGGCCTACGAAGGCCAAACCGTGGGCTCTTGGGTAGGAACGAGAAGAAACACAGGCCGGTTTGGGATTTATTTGGGCGTGAGCTTCTCGGGCCAAAAGGGTGAGAAAACAAGAAACAAAAGGGAGAAGAAGATGATGGTGAAGTTCGCGTGAGAAGAGGGAGAAGGGGGGGGCGGGGGGAATTGTCTTGCTATTTAAAGAACTCTTGGAACATCCTAGAAACCCTAGACTAAGCCAATAAGAGAAGGCTTCTAAGTCAAATTTCATGATGGCTTGCATTTAATGCCATTAAATGCTCTTAATGAACTAAAATGATGAAGAGGCCAAGCTTATCTTCACCTCATTGGCTCTCTCTCTCTCTCTCTCTCTCTCTCTCTCTCTCTCTCTCTCTCTCTCTCTCTCTCTCTCTCTCTCTCTCTCTCTCTCTCCTTGGCCAAATGGCCTTGGTTATCAAGATTCCATTATAGAATCATTCTAGAAGAAAACATTTCAGCTTCTGCTACTATATGTAAAGCCTCATTTTCCCCTTCATATGACCTCCAATAAAAGTGTAACATATCTCATTTGAAATATCATAATGTGTAAATTAAATCACCAGAAGACATCAAGTCGAAATTCCAACGTTCTCGGATAGAAAATGCTGAATCTTTGAAATCTGACAAAACCGGACGGCTTTGCACTGTTCACGAAATCGGACTTGAAAACATAGTAAATGGACTCCAAAAATTCTCAAATTTGAATATATCATAAAAAAGACCTTAACAAACATTTCTCATGATAACACAAAATCGGAATCTTTCTGTAAACACCATTTTTAGTAGCTCAAAGACAGACTAAAAATAGTTCGCTGGAACAAAATTCTTGTTTCTCAAAGTAAGCTCTGTCGAGAATCCAAATCATCTTGAAAAATTCCCAAATTTATATATGTTATATAAAAAGAAATTCTAAACAACTTTTGTGAAGGAAACTTTTCCAAAATCGTCCCAGAAAAGCTTGTAGAAAATAAATAAAGCGTGAACATCACCGAAATACCCATTCTGGGCAGTTTTACACGGTCCGAAAATCAGGCCATCGTACTACTCATATCAAGTCCAAAAATTCTGAAATTAAAGTATGTAAAACTTCAAGATGTTTGGAGAAACTTTCAAGAAGGAAGTGTTTGGAAATTCGGATCAGAAAAGTCTCCACAAAAATAACAAAACGAAGGGGTACAAGGGATCCGAAACTGGGTTTTCCAGAACAAGAGTAAAAATTGGTTCCAATTGGAAAATCACCAAACTTAAACCATAGCCATTTCCTAGAGACTGAAATTGAGGATGTTACAATTCTCCCCCTCTAAAAGAATTTCGTCCTCAAAATTTAAAACGTACCTGGGATTTAACTTACCTTTCCTTTCTGAAGTGTGACACACCCCTCATTAGTGACACCTTTAGAAAGACATGGTCGCCTACCTACAACTTAAGCAGTTTCTGGCGCTTGTCAGCCTAATTCTTTTACCCACTTGTGACGTCCTAAGTCTTTCTCCACTTATCTGGACAGCATCTATGGTGAGTTGGACTAGCTCTGGACCCGTGACCCTCTTTTCCCGACCTCGTTCCAACATACTGGAGTTCTGCAAGCTCAACCGTATAATGCCTCGAATGGTGCCATCTTGATGCTTTGCTGATAACCGTTATTACAGTTGGATTCTACCTTCCTTTCTGAAGGTAGCCTGCTTAGCTTTTTTTTCGAAAAACATCGAAAATTTTCTTTATGGAAAATCTTCTAGCTTTGGCTTCCCACGCTTCCGCTGCGCCACTCTGATTTATCTTTTACCATCCTTAAATATTTCTTATGCTTGCTTGCTTGGATTTTTCGGTACATTGAAACGTCGTACATAAATACTATGATAAAATAGTACAAGTACAGTTCCAGTCACCCGATTTATCAAGTCTCTGTAATAACATTCTTGGAGTTTTCCGCTTCCTCTTGAGTAATGGCATAAATCCTTCATTGAGCTGGAGGACGATTATCATGTGGTGGAACTCTATTTTGTTGCATCACTTGTGGTTGATGTGACTGCTTCACTTGCTATCGTTACGGGCAATCCTTTATGCGGTGGCCTTGTTGACCACAGCCGAAACATGCTCCTGTCTGTTTTGGACACAGAACATTTCCATGAAACCTTCCACAAGTATGGCATGCATCGCCTGCAGTGGAAATTGGCTTCTGATTTTTTATCTTCTTGTTGGGAGTGGAAAAACGGTTTTCTCCCGACATCGGTCTCTTGTCATGATACTGGTTGGATTGAGAAGCCGGATGATAGGGCTTTCCTTGGTTAGTCGCAGTGGCAACTCGTTCCAGGGACTCTTTTTCCACCAGCTGGGCTTGTTCATACAGCTCGTTGTAATTCTTGAGGTTCAGCGGCACCAACTGTCTCTGGATGTCTGGGCTCAAATCATCTCGGAATCTTTTTGCCCTTTCCACTGGATCTTCAATAAATTTAAGGGCGTACCTCGATAATTGAGCGAACCTTGCTTCGTACTGGTCGACTGTCATGTTGTTCTGCTGAAGTTGCAAGAATTCCTTCATCTTTCGGTCATGAGCACATTCGGAAAAATACTTTCCGTTGAATGCTTCAACGAAAGTATTCCAGTTGACAGAACCTTTTTATGGGAACACGATTTCCTTGGTCGCTTTCCACCAATAGCTGGCATTACCTTGCAGTTGATAGGCTGCTAAGGTAACTTTCTCTCCTCAGAACATCTCAAAAGCTCAAATGCCTTCTGGAGTTCATCGATCCAGGATTCTGCTTCTTCGGGATCTCCAGTTTCGATAAACTTCGGGGGTTGGAGCTTCAGGAATTGCTCAACCAATCCGTGCATCGTATGGCCACCATTTTCATTTCCATTTCCATTTGCTGCCACATTCTCAGCATTAGGCATTTGTTGTTGGGCCTGCTATCCCAACAGTTCTCCCACGATCGCTAGAGCCTGCAGAATTCCATCTATTCGGGGGTCTTGATTTGACTTTCCCTTCGAGGTTGAGGTCGCAACCGAGTTCCGAGCACTCATATTGGTATTCTAAGGGATCTTTCTACAACACAAGAATAGGTCAGTGGTCACAAACAAATATTAGCACACAACCTATTCAACCACAATCAATCATTCACATGCGCAGGGGTGTTTCCTAACTAACTACCCCAACTTCAGCGCACCTTATCACTCCAGGTCTTTATTTCCGCTTGGATTTCAGAATCATTCTCCCCCATTCAGTGTATAGTTCGGTTTCTTCCTCTCTTACCTATCATCCTAGAAGCCTGCCAGGAGCCGCACCTTATTCAGGTCTTCAACCCCGGCAACCACTCTTGCTAGAAGCCGCACCTTGATTAGGCCTCATGTCCCGACGTCCACTTCATAGCCAAGAGTCGTTCTTTGATTAGGTTCTACCTCGGCGACCACTCCCCGCCCTCATCGGATCGAGTCCTTTCAGGATTTCACAGCCTCTTCTTGGCTCAACATCGAACTTGCACTTACCGGAGGGGAACCTGCTCTGATACCAAATTAGACTGTAATGCCCCCACCTCGGGATCATTCATGTGACGTCCCGTTCATTATTATCTTTCGTTACACACAAGCGGAAGCATATCTTGGGACAATCACAATCAATACACACAGCGAAAATAAGACAATAAGCATCATGAGCAAACCTTATGTTTACAGTGCATGCAAACATATTTTAACAAGCCCTTCGGGCCATGGCAAACAACACATATTTTCATAGCCGACTATAATTAGCAAAACTTGACTTGGGTTATCCTATACCCACTACGGCTCCTCACTCCTCGCTTCTTCACCTCCACTCCGGTCCCGTCCGCCTGGTCATCTCACATTCCACACGTGGCTTTATCCCGGAGCCAGCCCGCCCGCACCACCAAAGCACCGTTGAACCCACATAGGGATCCAACCCATTCTCCTTTTGCATAGCGATACCACGCCACGTACGGATGAGGCACCAAGTCCGTTAGGCCCTCATCGAACATCACAAGCGTCGTGATTCGGCGATAGGCGCGGTCTTCTCTGACATCTATCACGGTGAGCACTTCGACTCTCTGCTCCACGGGATTGCCAACGCGGGCTGGGGGAGATGCCATCCTACGGACCTGAAAAAGGGAAACAACGGGGGATGAGTCGGGGAGACTCAGCAAGTAAAAAACTCTAATATCAAGCGAGGACGAGACAATCGTCGTTCACACAAGTCGATTCTTACCGTACCAGCATCGATGGCAATTCAAATAGCAAAGTCATGCTACGAAATCAGCAAAACAAACATCAAACGTGAGTATCACATGTGAACATCATTAGATGAGAAAGAACGAACAATCATGAAACCAAGAAACGGGCCAACCAACCCATGTTACAAACGTATCGTAACTTCCTTTTCCGATATTAGGTAATTCACTTACACAAGGACAAACAAAACTAGAGAACGGGGTTCGAGACGGGTGAGCTCGGGAAATTTCGGGCTTTCTCCTTGCTTCCTTCTTGCTTGCCGAGCAAACCTAGGCCTACGAAGGCCAAACCGTGGGCTCTTGGGTAGGAACGAGAAGAAACACGGGCCGGTTCGGGATTTATTTGGGCGTGAGCTTCTCGGGCCAAAAGGTTGAGAAAACAAGAAACAAAAGGGAGAAGAAGATGATGGTGAAGTTGGCGTGAGAAGAGGAAGAAGGGGGAGAGGGGAAATTGTCTTGCTATTTAAAGAACTCTTGGAACATCCTAGAAACCCTAGACTAAGCCAATAAGAGAAGGCTTCTAAGTCAAATTTCATGATGGCTTGCATTTAATGCCATTAAATGCTCTTAATGAACTAAAATGATGAAGAGGCCAAGCTTATCTTCACCTCATTAGCTCTCTCTCTCTCTCTCTCTCTCTCTCTCTCTCTCTCTCTCTCTCTCTCTCTCTCTCTCTCTCTCTCTCTCTCTCTCTCTCTCTCTCTCTCTCTCCCCTTGGCCGAGTGGCCTTGGTTATCAAGATTCCATTATAGAATCATTCTATAAGAAAACATTTCAGCTTCTGCTACTATATGTAAAGCCTCATTTTCCCCTTCATATGACCTCCAATAAAAGTGTAACATATCTCATTTGAAATATCATAACGTGTAAATTAAATCACCAGAAGACATCAAGTCGAAATTCCAACGTTCTCGGATAGAAAATGCTGAATCTTTGAAATCTGACAAAACCGGACGGCTTTGCACTGTTCACGAAATCGGACTTGAAAACATAGTAAATGGACTCCAAAAATTCTCAAATTTGAATATATCATAAACAATACCTTAAAAAAACATTTCTCATGAAGAACACAAAACCGGAATCTTTCTGTAAACACCATTTTTAGTAGCTCAAAGACAGACTAAAAATAGTTAGCTGGAACAGAATTCTTGTTTCTCAAAGTAAGCTCTGTCCAGCATCCATATCATCTCGAAAATTTCCCAAGTATATATATGTTATAGAAAAATAAATTCTCAACAAATTTTGTGAAGAAAAATTTTCCAAAATCGGCCCAGAAAATCTTGTAGAAAATAAATAAAGCGTAAACATCACCGAAATACCCATTCTGGGCAGTTTTACACGGTCCGAAAATCAGGCCATCGTACTACTCATATCAAGTCCAAAAATTCTGAAATTAAAGTATGTAAAACTTCAAGATGTTTGGAGAAACTTTTAAGAAGGAAGTGTTTGGAAATTCGGATCACAAAAGTCTCCACAAAAATAACAAAACAAAGGGGTACAAGGGATCCGAAACTGGATTTTCCAGAACAAGAGTAAAAATTGGTTCCAATTGGAAAACCACCAAACTTAAACCATAGTCATTTCTCAGGGACTGAAATTGAGGATGTTACAGCTACAATAGTGACCACAACGGTCATATTAAATGAACTGTTACCCAAACATTACCAATTACTAGATCTCTTCAACTTGAATTAAGAGATCGTCATTTAGCTGATCTTTGAGATCAATGATGTTGTTTACATGATCCTTCAAGGACAGTCTTGTGATCTTTTTTTCAATGACTAACATTATAAGTATCACTCAGTCCTTTAAATATATATGCACTTAGACAATATAGATATTATACTAAGGATAGTTTGGGTATCATCAAAATTCATTTGAAGATGTTTCTCCAACATTTTCCTAGTTTAATTTAGATATTATCCTAATCTTGGTAGTTTATTTAGGGTAATTTTTAATTCCAAATTTTCATGAAAAATACCAAAATGAACTCATTTTATTATAAGTTAAATTATCTTTTGTAGGATAGATTGCATGTTTAATTTACGTTATTTATTTATTCCAAATTTCAATAAGAAAATACGAAAAACAATACCCTAGAATAGGTTAATCTACTTTCTTTAGTTTAAAATGGCGTGTTTAGATAATAGTCATTTTTAATTACGAATTTTAATAGAAAAATACAAAAAAAAAACATCATATGCCCATCGTTAGAGTTTGGTCATTTAATCGCATGTCATATAGCTTGCATGTTATGTTTATTTAATCACATGTCATATTTTGTACGTCATTGCATATAGGTTAGTTTTCATATAATCAAGAGAAAACCCAAAAAATACATTGAGTGGAATTGCTTGTTAATTAGAAATTATATTAGGGATGATGATGTAAAAGTGTAACTAATATTGCAGATGCTTACGTTGCTTCAAAGTAAGTACATTCTCCCTATCTTGCAATTTATTTAATACTTTGATTATTGGGTGTTCATTTGGTGGTTTGCATATCCGCATTAGCACCTCACACATTAGGAGATAATAAAATTAATCCTAGCTGCTTGCTAAAATATTTTCATGAAAAAAAAGTACTCAAAGGGCGTTAGAATAATCTAGCGTAATCAAGTCCCCGTACTCATAATCTCTAGTTTATAGGAAAAAAGTATATCTCCCAATACTTTATTTTGGTTTCTAATCGACTCACTATAAATTAATTAGTGGCGACTCTTAATTGAAAATCATTTGCATGTTAAGAACTTGAACCATAAATTGTGAATTAGTATTGGTTTAGAAGAGTTCGAGTTAATTCTAGGCTTAATAATTCATTAGCCGAACCTAGGACCCCGAGGGTAGGTTGCGACACTAGCCGAATTTCTTTGCTATGCGAGCCCAGTCCATGTGATTGGTTTGAGTCCATTCACTACCGCCGGTCCGATTAAAATGCATGCGATTTAATTTTAATATTTTTGCTTAGGGGTTAAAGATTAATCCTTAATTTTTTTATGCAATTAATTTCTAGATGGTTAGACAAAATTTAGGTGTCAGCAGTGGTCATTGGTTCAATAGTGTGGTATGCATTTGGTTGTTTCCCTCAATGAAACACATTTTGTAAATATCTCTGAATAAATATAAGGGCGGAATGGGCTGGGCCTCAATGCCCTTGTGCAGCTGAGGCCCACTTGCTGACCAGACCTGTCCAAGCCTGCCCAACGGGCTTACCAAATCCAGCCAAGCCCACCCATTAATCAAGTCCATTGCTCAGTAGCGTCCATACAAAGTAGTTACTATTTCGGAGCAACAATATCAGGGTCAAAGTAGTCAGCATCCTACTCTATATGTTCTCTTTCAGTATCCATCAAAACAATATGGAAGAGACTGGTTTTCTACTATCATTTGCCAACATATAATCCTTAGGATAATGACAGACCTGTAATATGCTCATTGAACTTGAGCAAAAGTTACGGAGCTTGATGGATATTCGAAGCGAATGACACACACTTAGAAGAACATCGAAAAGACATTGAGAGCTCTCGACCGTGAACTTTCAAAGAGCAAGAATCAATATCTCCGAGCTTCAAGACATGAGAAGCAGCGGAGTCTTATGGGATCAATCTTCTTAGTCCTGTCATCTTCGTCAACATGTACTATCGTTTCTTTTTGC